CCATCCCCATGCTCATCCCCATCCAATCCCCATCCCCAACCCCATCACCATCCATGCCCCAGAGAAGACGGCGATCATTTGTAGAAAGGAACAGCATGGATGAAGACAGGCATCGCGTTTGGATTTTTGGGGTTGCACACAGTAATCCTCGGGGCTTCCTTCCAGCTTGAGATATTCCATGTTTCTCAGATTTTGGCTGATTTTGGCTGGCTGCAAATGATTGCATGGGCATAGCATGTTCAGGGAGAAGCAAAGGGGCTCAGAGTTCTGCTGGAGAAGGAAGGAGCCTGCAGCAAGGAGCGCACGCAGTGCCATGGGGCTCTGCAAGATAAATGCATTAAATACTCGGGGTGATGGGCATCATGTGGATGAGGACTTGCACAGCAGGCTGCAGCCCTCAACACCGCCCAGCACCCAGCTTGCTCTGCAAATGCCCTCTGCAAAAGGACTCCTTGAAAGCAATACAGCATGAGTGCAAAGCAGCATCCTACCAGCAAGCGAGGCTGTACGGAGGGCAGAGGCAGAGCTCAGCCCGTATCCTATGGCTGGGCAGCAGCAGCACGGGTGGCCGAGCGCTGCAGGCGGAGGCTCAGCTCATCCTGGAGGCGCTGGGAGGAGGCGTCGAGGACGTGGGCAAGGTGGGAGGTGAGATTCAGCACGTGGGCCACCAGGCGGATGTCCTTGCGCAGCCTGTGGGTTCAGGGCAGGGACATGGGTGGGTATCAGGAGATGGGGGAGCCTCCAAATCCTATGGGTTTGGGCAAGGGATACGTGTCTGGATGTTAATGACACGGGTTTGTGGTTTAGGGGCATGGTGGTGATGGGTTGGGCTTGATCTTGGAGGTCTTTTCCAATCTTGATGATTTTCCAACCTTCATGATTCTCTCATTCTGTTTGGAAAGAATATGGTGGCTGAGCCTCCAGACCCAACATGTGGATATCAGTGGCATGGTACATGGTCAGTGGGCACGGTGGGAATGGGTTGGGTTGGACTTGGTGATCTTAGAGATCTTTCCCAACCTCAGTGATTCTACAATTCTATGTGGGTGACAGGGGATGGGGGAGCTACAAATGCTATGGGTTCAAGTCAGGGACGCATGCATGGCATGAGATGATTGAGCCAACAAAACCTGAGGGTTCAGGCAAGGGATAAATGTCTGGATATCAGTGGCATGAGACATGGTGGAGATGGATCAACGGCTGGACTTGATGACCTTGGAGGTCTGTTGAACACCCAGTGATTCTATGATTCTGTATCAATGGTGTGGGGTGATGGGGCCTCCATACCCCACCTGAGACCCACCAACCAACCACATGTGCTCACCGACAGCACTGAGCATCCTTAGGGCCACGCAGAGCAGCACTCTGGCCTGATTGCCCGTAATGCCCACCTGTGGAATTTGGGGTGATGCTTCCTCTTACCCTCGTCACCTGCAGGGAGCATCTGCCCTGCCTCTCCCCTACCAGAGACCTCCAGATTTCGGAACTCCCCAAGAACCATTCATTTCTCCACACTCATAAGATGGCTGTTGGGATTTGGAGTGCTGCTCACTTACTTCTCCCTCTTCTCCACCACCTGTGGGTGATCGCTCTGAGCCATGTGAGCCTCCAGCTCTCTGCGCACGTTGTCCAGGCTCTCCCCAAATTCCTGGTTGGCCCCACGGATTGCAGGCAGTGCCTCATTGATCACATCCTGGTACCGGGGTTGAGGTTCCTCCAGCACTGCCGCCGCCTCCACATCCTGCAGCGTGGCTCTGTTCTGCTGCAGAAGGCTCTGCAGGTGCTCCAGCTCCTCACGGGATGCAAGATGGGATGGCACACGGGGTGGACCGCAAGGGTTTGGGGCATGGAAAGTGATGCCACAGCGCTCAGGGTCCCCAGGGGGGTCCTGCTGGGGGGTGGCACAAGGGAGCAGGGCGCACAGCCCCACCAGCAGGCAGCAGGCCCACGGGACCATGGTGTCCTATGGGGAGAGGTGGGCGTCAGCACCCTGCAGTGGGGCTGGGATGCTCTTGGGGTCCCTTCTGCATCCCACCAGGGACCCTCAGATTTCAGTTTGCAACAGCAAAATCCCTCAGGGACACTTCTTTTCCTATAAGGGATGGCAAACTTTTTGGCTGCTGGGATTTAGGATCTGGGGGATGCTATGTGCCAAAATGCAAAGGAGGGGAAACTGAGGCACAAGGGGGCTGGAGCTGATCCTACCCCTCCAACTCCCCTCCATGGAGGAAAGAGGGGCCGCGGTGGGGAGCAGCAGACAGCTCGGCTCTTCCAAAACCAACGCTGGAAACCAGTGGAAACCGCTGGCAGCGGGGCTGGAGGGGCGGAGACCAAAGCAAAGCGCCCTGAAGCGTTGGGGAAGGACCGGAGATGCCATTCAGAGACCGCAGCGCCGTGGCACCCGGCCCTGCCATGAACTGGCTGGGTCTCAGCACAGCGTCTGCTGGCACAGAGAGCCGGGCTCTATCCTGGCCAAAGCCAGCAAAACTCTTCTTTTCCTCTCCTTCCTCCCCAAAATGCTTTCGGATTTTTGCTTTGGGGAACTCACTGCCTGTCAGGGGTCCAGGCTTTGCCAGAAGCTGGGTAAGGAGCTTTTATCCGGGTGGGGCACGGGTGGGTGGGGGGCACTGAGCAAAGCAACTGGATGCCCATAGCTGGGAAAAGCACAGCTCACGGGGGCTCAGATCCCACCCAGAACAATTCTTCCCCCCAACCCAAAGAAATTCCCACCCTCCCCAGCCCCCAAGCAGGGAATGGCCCCTGGCCCCCATGCACTTTGTTTGCAACGCTGCAATAACCCCCCTTCCCCAGCATACACTCTACAACCCCCCCTTTGTTCCAGCATTTCAACCCCACTGTTCATTTTGCAGTTGGGGAAACTGAGGCACCAGAGGTGGCACTGCTCCCCTCCCGCCCCCCATAGCCCCCATCCCACTCACTGCAAGGCGAGGCGATGGTCCTGCAGTGGGATCTGTGCTCTGGAGGCTGGGCCAGCCCACGCACATGTGCACACGCATGTGCACACACACACTGTGCTCAGCACTGAGCGGGCCAAGCTTTGAGGTCTGGGGTGGGATGTATGGGGTCGTGCAGCTCCCCAGAGGGGGATCCGTGTGTATTACAAAGCTGGGAGGGGTACAGCTGTGAGCAACATGGCCAGACAGTGTGCACACGTGTGCACTCATGTGCTAAGCGTGTGGATGTGCTCAGTGTGCACACGTGTGACTGATGGGGCATACGGTGCTTTCTGCGCGTGCTTGTGTGAATGTGTCTGCAAGCTTGTGCATGCAGACCTGCATTTCTGTGTGTGTTTGTATACAAGTGTATGCAGATATGCATGTTTGTGTGCATGTGCACATGCATGCAGGTGTGCAGGTGTGTATGCGTGTATGTGCAGGTGTGTATGCACGTATGTATGGGTGCATACGTGTGTAAACCCGAGGGGTGCAGCAGGAGCCGAAATGGCTGCAGGACCTCCTTGTTAATGCCCCCCAAAATGTAACGTAGGGCAAAAGCCAACAGATTTGGGCACTCGTGAGGACCTGGCAGACCTCTACCCCAAAACCATGGGGTATCAGGGGTCCCACAGCCCCCAGAGGGCGGTGGTGGGGCCGAGGAGCGAGGACATGAGATGTCGGGATGTCCCCCGGAAGGACACACCTGTGGGTGAGCGTCCCTGCGCTGAGCGCCGGAGGGAGCGGGCCGGCGGCGCTAGGACCTGCGCGGCGCTGCTGGGAGGGGGCGTGGTCACAGGGTAGGGGGCGCGGCCTAAAGCATCGAGAGGCGTGGTTATGGGAAGGGGGCGAGGCGGAGGGCGCGGCCTTCAGGCGGCTGAGTGGAGGTCACGGGTTCGAGACCGGGCGGTGGCGGCAGTCATGGCGCGGCGGTTTGCGTTGTTCGATTTAGGCGGAGTGCTCTTCGAGCCCGGCCTGCAGCACTTTCTGGGCTCCTGCGAGCGGAGCTACGCCTTGCCCAGGTACGGCTAGGCATCGCTCTGTGGGTTCCGGCTCGGAGTCCTAAGAGTCGCCCGCCCGCTTGACAGCGGAGTGCCTCTCAGCCTAAGACACGTGGAGACGAAGCGGCGATGTTGTGTGTGCGGTCGCCGCCCGCGCGGAGTATGCGGGGTCTTAGCGATAAACCAGAAGGGACGGGCGGGGAAGGGGGTGGAGTGCAGGATGGGGGTTAACCCCCCTGAAATTGGAGATTTCTATAGAGGATGTTGACGTAGAGGTGGAGAAGAGCGCCTGATGGGTGTGGGAGAGGAAATAAATATGTTTTTGTTCATGAAGAGCCCCAAACACCCCAACTTGGAAGGGGGAAGCCATCAGCCCCTCCCTTATGCCTTCAGTGGGGCTGCGCTGCCTGAGACCCGACATAAGTCTTTGCACCCCCTGAAGTGCTCCGTGCCAGCCTTCACACTGCCCGAATTGGGGTGTTTCACCCCATTCTGATCCCAGAGACCTTTGGGAACCCTTTGCCCTGTTTGACTTTGGGAACTTTACAACGCCATCAGCTCCTGAGGGTGAGCAGAACAGGTCGGGGCTGTTTGCACCACCTAACGTGTGCGGGGCGGGGGTTGGGCAGTGGGATTTCAGCACAGCGATGCATTTCGGTGCGATTTGCAGAGCTGAATCAACGAGTTAAGCAATACAAATGCAGCGGAGCAGATGGAGCAATAAATTCCTCCATTATCAGCCGATGAAACATTTCATCCTTCACCTCATTACGAAAAAAAAATCGGCGACACCGATCTCGCTGGCACGGGGAAATCGACCCGAAGGAGTTCTGTCCCGGAGCCAGCGCTGTGATTTTATTTTATTGCTGCCTTAGAAGGCCCTTCGTGAGCTCCTGATAGGGACAATTATTTTCCCTGAGCTGCAGCTTTGCACAATTCCTCGCTCTCGGCTGTTTTCTCCTTGGCCAATCGGCCCTGCATTGTACTGAGATGCGAAGTAATTGAGCTGCCAGCTGGAATGGATGGGTGGCCTCCCTGCGCCCCTATGATGGGGATGGAGGGGGTTGGTGCTCAGAGCCACCTCCATCTGATGCATCTCTCGCACCCCCCCCCAGTCTTGGGGTGCCCAATGTTCAGTCCTGGGGTGCCCCCTTCCGGGTTTTGGGGTGCTCTCCCCTTGGTTTTGTGATACTCCCCTTGGTAATGCGGTGCCCCCCAGGCTTTGGGATGCCCCTTCTTGACTTTGGGATACCCCTTCTTGGTTTCGGGATGCCCTCTTTTGGTTCAGGGGGTCACCTCTTTGGAGGCTTGGGGTACTCCCCCCAGTCTTCGAGGTTCCTCCTTTGGTTTTGGGTTGCCCTCATGGTATTGAGGTACCTAACCTTTGGTTTTGGAGAGCACCCCCAGGCTTTGGGATGCCCCCCCCTTGGTATTGGAATACTGACCCCTTGGTTTTGGGGGACCACCTTTGCTTTTGAGGTGGCCCTTCAAGATTTGGGATTCCCCCTTCTAGGCTTTGTGGTATCCTCTTCCATTTGATTGTGGGGTATCCCACCATCTGGTTTTGCCATGCATACCCCTTGGTTCTGGGGTACCCTCCAGACATAGGGATACCACCCCCAAGCTTTGGGGTTTTGGTTTTCACCCCCAGGTCCTGGAGTGTCCCCTGACTGCAGCACCCCCCTCTCTTCCTTTTGTAGGAATTTCTTGCGGGACGTCCTGTTTGCAGGTGGTTCTGACAGCCCCCACAACAAGGTGATGCGGGGGCAGATCACCCTGTCCCAGGTGAGTGGTTGAGCACAGAGTGGGGGGTGTCCATCAGCTGCCCCTATATGGAATGGAAGGGTCAAGGGTCTGGAGTTGAACCCTTTGGTTTTGTGGGATGCAGCTGTTGAAAGTGACGTGCAAGGCTACTGGTGCTGCCTCACCACAGGACTGTCTCTGATGGGATGTGGGATGTTTTCCAGCTCGTCTCGGAGGTGGATGAGGGTTGCAGGCAGCAGGCCTCCACTTCAGGCATCACGTTACCAACCAGCTTTTCCATCGCCCATGTGTTTGAGGAGGTAGCAGCCAAGGGCACCCTCAATGCCCCACTGCTGCGGGCTGCCAGCATGCTCCAGAGGAATGGTGGGTGCTGGGGAGCTGTGGGGTATCCCTGCTCATTCAGGATGGAAAAAACCTCTCAGATCCCCAAGTCCAACCCTAACCCAACCCACCGTGCCCACTGTGTCCCTCAGTGCCACATCCCCACGGTTCTGGAACACCTCCAGGTTTGGTGACCCCACCACCTCCCTGAACAGCTGTGCCACTGCAGCTCTGCTCTTTATGAGAAGAAATGTTTCCTAATATCCAACCTGAACCTCCCCTGGTGCAAATTTGAGGCCATCATCTTTCAATCCTTGGGGACAGGAAAGGCTGCGCCTTTAGGTGGTTTTGGTGCTCCTGGGTAGTGTTGGGGTGTGCTTGGTTTGTTACCAAGCAGAGCCTTGATGATCTTGGAGGTCTTTAACCTCAGTGAATCTATGATTTTATTTAGGGATATGGCTTTGTGGGCATGGTGGGAATGGATCCATGATTGGACTTGATGTTCTTAGGGCTCTTCTCCAAGCTTGATGATTCTATGATTCTAGAAGTAGGCATGGTGGTGGTGGACTGCCAGACAGACTTGATGATCTTGATGGCCTTTTTCAACCTTAACAATTCTATGATTCTATTTAGGGACACAGTTTAGTAGGTGTGTTGGGGATGGGTTGATGGTTGCACTTGATGACCATCCAGCTCTTTTTTTAACCTTTGTGACTCTATGATTCTGAGTGGGCATGGTGGTGATGGGTTGGTGGTTGGACCTGATGATCTTGGAGATCTTTTCCGACCTTAGTGACTCTACAATACAGTACCCATGATTGCATCCAAACGGCTTTAAAATATCTTTGGGGAAGGAGACCCCTAGCCTCTCTGGGCAGCCTGTGTCGCAGTCACGAAGCTTTCCCTCATCTCTGCCTTTCCCCAGGGTTTAAGACCTGTGTCTTCACCAACAACTGGGTGGATGACAGTGCAGGGCGGCTCTTCACCTCCTCTCTGCTGACCATGCTGCAGCGGCACTTCGACCTGGTCATTGAATCATGCCGTGTGGGGCTGCACAAGCCAGATCCCCGCATCTACACCTACACCCTGGAGCTGCTGCAGGCACAGCCACAGGAGGTACGGGGTCACCATCGTCCCCTACAGCTTCCAAGATGCTGGTGGTGATGGTGTCCAGAGAGGCTGAAGGCTCTCCTTGGGGAGCTCCAAAGCCCATGCCTATGGTGCTAGGCACCCTACTATGGGTGGGGAAGAGGGGGGACCCAGGGGTGCCTCTAGGCCCAAGCACCCTTGGGATCTCTGAATCCCTTTGTCTGGGATCTGCTCCAGGTGATCTTTCTGGATGACGTTGGGGAGAACTTGAAGCCAGCCCGAGAGATGGGAATGGCCACCATACTTGTCAGGGACACCGACACCGTCCTGAAGGAGCTGCAGGAGCTGTCAGGCGTGCAGGTATGTAGTGGTGCTGTGGGGACACCTTGACCCCTGCTGGTTCATCAGAGCCTGTTGGGTTCTGCTGTATGGGATCTGGGAAGAGGTTGGATCGCTATTCTCTGACGTAGGATCAGCAGTATTAGGGTGGGGGCACAGCTTTGGGTGTCCAGTGCTGATGGGAAGAGGAAGCAGGCACAGTTTCTCCATCCATGAGCAACTCGTGGAGCATCCTGCTGTGACCTTGCATCCAGTGCCTGCATGGCAGTGCTGGGTGACACTGGAAGCTCAGCACTTCAGATGCAGCACAGCAGATGCAGTACTTCAGCTTGGGAGCTCTCCTTGCCCCGTAGCTTCTCCAGCAAGAAGAACCGTTGCCGACTGCCTGTGATCCAGCCACCATGAGCCATGGATATGTGTCCATCCGGGTAAGAGGGACAGCAAATTGTGGTGGGGACAGATGTGCTACTGAGGGCACTGGGACATAGGCGAGGATTTGTCACCTGGCATCGCGCTGTGCTGGAGGGGCTGTGCTGCATGGTGTTCCCCATCCACCCTATGGCCTATTGCCATGCATGTGGCTCAGAAGCACCCAGGGTGCTCTGAGGGTGCTGGGTGCTGAGGGTTCTGTCCCCACAGCCCGGTGTGCAGCTGCACTTCGTGGAGATGGGGCATGGCCCTGCTATCTGCCTGTGCCACGGCTTCCCCGAGTCCTGGCTCTCCTGGCGCTACCAGGTAAGGGGATGGGGAAATGGGATGGCCATGTTGGCGTGGTGACACACCAGGCATTGCCATGTGCCTTTTTTTGGAGGTTTCTGTGGTTTTCTGCTTTCCTTTTGGAGGTTTCCATGTTTTTTACTGCTTGCTTTCTCAGATTCCTGCCCTGGCTGATGCTGGCTTCCGTGTCATTGCTTTGGAGATGAAAGGCTACGGCGAGTCCACAGCACCGCCAGGTGAGCAGTACCCATCCTTCCCCATAGGACCAGAATGTACCATGAGCATCCCAGTGTTTTTCCCATCCCTTTGCACTGGATGAAGGGCTCAGGGCATAGTGTCTGCTGTTGTACCCAGCTGGGTGGTGTTGGGCACAGGGCTCTTTCACCCTGGGGAGGCAGAGGGGCTGTCGTGATCCCTTTAGATAAAAGGGAGTGCTGCAATGATGGGAATTCTGTCTTTTGTGCAGAGATAGAAGAGTATTCCCAGGAGCAGATCTGTAAGGTAAGGAGCTGTGGTGCCAAATAGAGATGGGAGGGCTGGAGCTGGAGCCCTGGGTTTTGCTACTGCTTATGGGTGAGACCCATGGGGGGGACCTCAGCCTCTGCTTAACACTGGGATGTGGAACCCTCTGACCCCAATCTTCTCCATCCTCCAGGACCTTACCGTTTTCCTGGACAAACTGGTAAGAGCCCCCCACCACCTGCCTCCATATCTCTGCAGCTTGTGCTCTGTCTGTATGCTGTAGTTGTGAACTTCAGGACAGGGATGCTCGTGTCTGCCAAGATCTATAGGGATATCCTTATAGGGTCTGTCAGCTCCTGTTCTGTGTTGCCTCCTCCAGTCTTTAGCTGAGTATAGGGATATGGTACCCACCTCCACGGGAGCATCATCCCATGGCAAACCCTTTGGAATCACAGCAGATCCTGGAGTACTCAACCTGGCAGCCCCCATCCCTTTTTATAGGGTTTCAGCTCCCATCCCCCTTTTGGGAGAGGGTTAAACCACAGCACAGAGCCTTGCCAGCCTCAGCTTCCCCCCTTGCCATCCTCAGGGAGCTCTTGCTGCTGGAAGGGAGTTTTAATTATATTTCTAAACATCAGCTAATTACAGAGCGTCTGCTTCGTTGTTGCGAGCTGGTGTTCTAATTGGATTTGTTTGTAGGAGCCCGCGGGGGTCAGTGAGGAGAAAGGAAATGTGGGGAGCAGAGCAGTGGGTGTAGGATCTGGCTGCCCTGCAGGGTGCTGCCAGCTCCTCCCAACCCTACATCCCACTGTCACCTGGGGGCTGGTCCCTATAAGTTCCCCTGCAGAACCCCACGCTCTACCCTCTCCTCCATCCTCACCCACTGGTAGCGAAAGGCCCCCCAAAAGAAAGAGAAAACTGCTGTTCTCTGATCTTTTTTTTTTAATGTTTTTTGGGGAAGGCAAAGCTCTCCATGCTCAGTGCTTAGGGTGCTAGTCTCTGCTTTGAGTGTGGGGGGGGGGTCATTGGGCTCAATGGGATGCTTACCTTGTGGTTGCACTCACTAGAGTGCTCTCATTAGGGATATACTCAGTGGGATGCTCACCTTGGGTTTGTGTTCATCGGAATGCTCTCCTTTGGGATGTAGTCTCTGGGATGCTGGCCATGGGGATGAGCTCAATGGGATGCTGTCCTTGGGGACACGCTCACTGGGATGCTCACCATGAGGATGAGCTCAATGGAATGTTCTCTTGGGAATGCACTCAATGGGATGCCCTCCTTGGGGATACGCTCAGCAGGATGCTCTTTTTGGTGTTAAACACAGTGGAATGCTCTCCATGGGGACGCACTCATGGTCCCCCTTCCTGTCCCTGTCCTGCAGGGCATCCCACAAGCCGTGTTCATCGGTCACGACTGGGGTGGTGTAGTGGTCTGGAACATGGCCCTCTTCTACCCTGAGAGAGTGAGGTGGGTTCATACTTCACTGCCCTTTTGGGGACAGCAACCATCTCTGCAGGGAGTGCCCCATTGCCTTTCATCCTGCAGGGGGTGCCTGGCTTTGCTCCCTATGGTGACTGTGCTCCCCGCATTGTCCTAGGGCCGTGGCCTCACTGAACACCCCATACCGACCAGCAGACCCCACAGTGGACATCGTGGAGAAGATGAAAAGCTTCCCTATGTTTGATTACCAGTTCTACTTCCAGGAGCCGGTGAGTCAGAAATGAGGGACCTGCCCATGTTGGGGTCCATAATGTGCACAGTCTTTGCCTACCCCATGGCTGGACTCCCAGTGCCATCCCAGTGCCATGGGGCACCCAATATCACCCCACTGCCCCATCTTACACTGCAGGGCGTCGCAGAGGCTGAGCTGGAGAAAGACATCGGCCGTACCCTGAAAGCCCTTATCCGTTCCATCCGCCCAGAGGTAGGAGAGGAGCTGGGAGGGAAAAGGATGAACCTGGGGGGAGGTGAGCAGAAAAATTTGGGGATGGCTTTATACTGCCTACGGTGCTCTTCAGGCACGCTCCACCTGCGTCTGCTGCCCTTTCTGCCTGCAGCACAGCCTGCATTGAGCTGCCATCACTAGGGACCAGAGTGAACGCATCTCTGTGAGCAGTGTGGGGCTCACAGCCCTGTAGAGTGATGAGACCCTGCAAAGCTGTGCTTTGAGGAAGGGGGTGCTTTGAGGAAGGAGGTGCATTGAGGAAGGAGGTGCATTGAGGAAGGGGGTGCATTAAGGAAGGGGGTGCATTGAGGAAGCGAATGCACTGAGGGAAGGGGAACATTGAGGGAAGGGTATGGTTTCTGCATCCTTTGGGGTGCAGCAATGCTTGGTGCTGACTCATGGCAAGGAGGGGCTCACAGCCCCACGTTGGCCATGGATGACACCCCTAGCATTGTGCCATCTTTTCAGGACCGCCTGCGCTCGGTACCTGGCATGCATAGTGTCCAGGAGCGAGGTATGGGGCTTCTTGGGGGCACAGCTCTGCAGTGGGACTGAGCTGGGGGTTGGCCATGCTCCCAATTGCCCTGCTTTGTGCTGTAGGGGGGCTGCTGGTCGGCTTCCCAGAGGACATTCCTGAGAGCCTCATCCTGCACGGTGCTGTGCTGCAGTACTACATCGAGCGCTTCCAGAGGTCTGGCTTCAGGTAGGAGCAGTGCTGTGCCTCTGTAGGGCTGTGTCATGGGCTGGACGATGGAATCAGTGGAGCTGTGCTCCAATTCCCCATTCCCTTTCCTCAGGGGTCCACTGAACTGGTACCGGAACATGAGACCCAACTGGCACTGGGCACTCTCAGCCAAGGACAGGAAGGTGGGCACGGGGATCTCCCTCATAGAAGCAGCGTGTGGGGCCACCACAACTCAGATAAGTGTCACCCTATGTGTCCCCTGCAGATCCTCATGCCAGCACTGATGGTGACAGCGGGGAAGGATGTGGTGTTGTTGCCCAGCATGAGCAAGGGCATGGAGGAGTGGGTACGCGTGGCCCCATCCCAAAGCCATTGGGGTGGAGATGCTTCCGTGGGAGCTCCAATGGGAATGGAGCTCTGGGAGGGGGAATTATGCTGGGATATGGGCTGGGGTGTGGGATGTGGGGAGTTAAGGAGGGTTGCAGGGGGTTGCGGAGGGGGTAAGAGGAAGAATAAAGGGTGGGTGAAGAAGGGGAGGAATAATTGGGGAATAAGGAAGGAATAAGAAGGGGGTAATGAGGAACCGAGGGGAATAAGGGAAGAATAAATCAGGAATAAGGGGAGGATAACGGAGGAATAAGGAAGGAATAAGGGGGGAATAAGGAAGGGATAAGGGAGGAATAAGGGAAGAGTAAAGGGGGAAGAAGGGAAGAATAAAGGGAGAGTAATAAGGTAGGAATGGGGAGGACTAAAACAGGAATAGGGAAGGGATAAGAGGGAAATTAGAATGTGAATCAGGAGGGAATAAGGAGGAAGGATAAGGAGGGGAATAAGGGAGGATGAGGGGAATATGGAAAGAACAAAGGGGGATGACGAGAAGACAGGGATATAAAGGGAGAAATAAGAAACAGGTTAGGGAAGGAAAAGGGGGAAATAAGGAGGGGATAAGGGAATGTGGGAAGAATAAGGGGGATAAGAGGGGATGGGGGGATAAGGGTGGGATAAGGAGGGCATCAGGTGGGGCCTAGAGGGGAAGGGGTGGTATTTCCTTCCTCAGCAGAGGCAGGAGGGGGTCTGCTCCTGACCCAGCCCCCTCCTGCTTCCCCCCAAAGATCCCACAGCTGCGCCGGGGGCATCTGGAGGCATGTGGCCATTGGACACAGATGGAGAGGTGAGGGCTGGAAAGGGGGACCCAGGGCTGGACCCCCACTCTATGCCAACTCCAATGCTACTCTCTGCATCCCCCCCAGACCTGCGGCCCTGAACAAAATCCTGGTGGAGTGGTTGGAGGGCCTCCCTCCGGATGGGGCCATGCTGAGGGTATCTCGGCTGTGAGCATCCCTGCAGCTCCATCCCAGGGCTCCCCTTGCCCTGGGGTGATGCTGGAAGGGAGGATTTGGTAAGGAAGTCTGGATGCACTGACGCTGCTGCTGCTTCAGGAATTGCCTTTTGCCTTTGTAACACAGAGAAATAAAGCATCCATGGGGCTCAGCCCCCCACTGCTTCTCCCATGGGGTCTTCAGGATGTGGGTTGGTGCTGCATCTCTGCAGTACCAGAGCTCATCCCATTCCTGTTTGCTGAGCTCCAGGCCCTTGCTGCGGCCTCACAAAGCTTGGAGCAGACAGCCAGGATGGTGGAAGGGCTGGGCAAACATGCCTGGTATTTCCCTTCCTTTCCTGCGGGGGCCCCCCCCCCCCCCACCAACTCTTCCCCAGGCCTCAGTTATTTTCAGTCTGGGATTTGTGGTTTGTCTGGCTGCAGGAAGGGTTGCAACACTGTCTGCTTTTGTCATTTGTTTTTGTTGGAGGTGGGCAGGAGTAGGAGGACCCCATTGCACCCCCAGCAAATCGCAGAGCCCCATCGTGTTGTATGCAGGGCTGCAAAGCGTGGTATCCCCAGTCCCTGCAGCACCCCCAGGGATGGCTTTCACAGGGAGATCCCAAACCCCTTTCCCTAGCTGCATGCCCTATAAACCATCTACAATGCCACAGCAGGGTGGTGCTCCAGCAGGACATTGCTCCAGCAGCCCCTGGCCTCAATCCTCACCTCAGGGCCCCTCACCTGCAGCCCCAGTTGGCTTCTTCAGCCCCACAGGTGCAAGTGTACCCTGTGCATATGCATCCTCAGTTCCTTGGCTACACACACACATAACCCCAAGGGTGCATGCATCCTTGTTCACCTGGGTGCACACATCCTTAGCCCCTTGGGTGCATGCATCCTGGTTCCTTTGAGTGCATGCATCCTTGTTCCCGTGGGTGCATGAATCTCAGGATTATTATCAAGAAGAAAAATCGTTACCTGGCCCTAAAGCGAGTGGGGAGTCAGCAGTTTGGCTTTGGCAAAGCATAAATCAGTGTTGATGTATTTCTGGGCTGTTGGCAGTGTTTAGGTGCTGGCTGGCACACAGCAGCAGCACTGGGTTAATGAGTGTTTGCTACAAAGTGCAAAGGTTTCTCTGGGCCCTACACGTTTTGCTCAGCTCAGATCTCAGCACCAACGTGCTGCTTTGCACACCGGATCGTGGGGCGGCTCCCTCTGCTTTTAATGGGGTCTGTCCCCAACCCTTCAAGGCTGCAGGGCCATACAGTAAGGACATGGTGCGCTCCCCTCCCCTCCCCCCCGCAGGCCCTATTGGCTATGGGAATGGAAGCAATTAACAGAGCAAAGGGAAAAAAGCCCTTGGAGACTGAGAAGCAAAAGTAAAGGATAAAAGCTGCCCGTAATTAAATTCTTTTATTTTTTAATGGAGAAGAAAGGAAAGGAACCGGTTTCTGGCTGGAAGAAGCAGTGCTCAGATCATTCTTGACTCTCGGATACTCAGAGAGCTGCAGCAAAGCACTGCTGCCCCATATGTCCCCATTTGTTATAGGGGCATTGGTGGCTCTCCTGGTCCCCCCACCTTTACCCAGCCCTGGGGAGGCAGCAATATGGGCAGAATCTGCAGGCACGGGGCAGAGCCTGGGCTGGGATCCCTGCAGTTTGGAAGGACATTGCAACTGGGGAATGCATTGCAATTGGGGAATGCGTTGCAATGGAGAACATTGCAGTTGGGGAATGCGTTGCGACGTGACAGCGAGGAGAATGGCTGCAAAGGTGTGATGTTCCTACAGGTTTCACAAACATAATGTTTTTGGAGGGAGGCCCAGAGCAGGACCCTGGTTCTGTCACAACCAGAGGACTGCAGCAACCTCAGCTCAGCCCTGCCTGGCACCGAATAACTGTGCTCAAGCAATGGTGTTCTCCCCTGGGTGCAGCCAAGAGCCTGCAGGCACCCAGCTGGCGTGTGGAGATGGAGGAGGGGGGAGGCTGCTGCACCTCTGCTGTTAATTAGTAATTTCTGGGCTATGTTTGGAGCTCTGCTGACCTTTGAGCACCCGCAGCTGTGAGCAGGGCAGGCGAGGAGGTTGTTGACCCCAATCAGCCCCATAGCTGGCTAATTACTCATTAAATCGCTGTGGTGCAGTTAGGGAAACCTCAGCAGGGGTTCGAGGTGGCCAGTGGGCCAAGGAAATTTGGAGGTGGATGGGAGGAGATGTGGAGAGCTCTGAGGGAGGTGCTGGAGAGAGAAAGGTTCTTCAGGCTCATGCTCTGCAATTAAAAGCAATTAGTAGTTGTGCAGTTGCACTGTGTCCTGCTCCCAGTGGGGCAGCAGAGTGCATTGCGGGCGCCAGGCGAGTGTGCAAAAGTGTGAAGCATCGCAGTGCCTGTGTGCACACCCAACCTGAACCCCTTTGTATGCATGCAACCCACAAGCCGGCAGGGCTGTTCCCTTCAGTCCCATGGGATGTCCCCTTCAACAGGAGGATCTCCTCCCCACAGTCCCAGGGTTTGCAGCATCCCCCCCTAGCCTGGGGCAAAGGGCACAGCCCCTCTGCTCCTCCTGCAGAGGGCTGTTACTCATTATCCCCCCTGGGCCTGGGGAGGGGCTGCTTGCTGAGCCAGGCAGCAGCAACCCTGCATCACTCCACAACATCCCCCCACATCACCCTGCATCGATCTACCTTGTCCTGCATCAAACCCCACAGCGCCCCACGTTTTCCATCCAGCAGCATGGTAAGGAGGGGAGGGGGGCACCCCGCTGTGGGGTAGCATTTGGGGTGGAGAGGGGCTATTATTTACTGTGACTTTTGATAAGGATCGGATAACAAATTAAATGAGAAGCCAGAAAGGTTTATTGTAAGAAAGGGGGGAGGGAGGGAGCAGATTCCCTTTACGAGATAGGATCGGGCTGTGGCTGCTGAACAGGATTTTCTGACCCACCAAACATCTCCTTTCCTCAATTTTGTTCTTTTTTTTCCCCCATGTATTTCATAAAGTCTCCCTGTTACCCTGGCTCTGCATCTGTAACTCATCCCACCTCCCCCTCACCCCCAGGGCTGTGAGCTGTGGGATCAGCATTGCTCTTGATGGCCCTGTCCCCAGGCAGTGTCACCTCCCTGGGCAGGGTGATGGGCCATCAGGCAGTGTCCCTGCCCTGCCCGGGGGGAGCTGGGACGGGAGCAGTGGGGTGATGGGGATAGAGGAGCTGGGGTACCCCTGCTGCTCCCTGGAGAGGTCTGGTTAGATTTGGGGTGTCCTCCTATGGGGTCTGCTTTTTGCATGCCCGTGCAAAGTGAGTTGAGAGCTGAGTGTGGGAGAATGGGGTGGGTTGTACTCATGCAAGATGCCTACGGCAATCCTCCCGCATCTCCCCATTGACTATGGGGACATCTCCAGCAGGGTGCTGGGCTGAGATGAGCTTCTGTGCCCTCAGTAACCAACTCCTGTGGAACCCAGCCCTGGTATGGGGGCTTTGACTGACAAAGGATGAACAGCAGGGGAGGCATTTCACACAATTGCAGACACATTCCAGTTGGAGAAGATCAGCAAGCCCAGCCCACCGTGCCCACTGCCCAAGTCACTCAGTGCCACATCCCCAGGGTTCTGGAACACCTCCAGGGATGGTGACCCCACCACCTCCCAACCATTTCAGAGGAGAAATGTTTCCTGATAGCCCACCTGAGCCTCCCCTGGCACCACTTGAGGCCATCGCTTCTTGTAGTATCTGTTCTGCTCTGCTTCACATCTTGGTTTTGACCCAGGTTCACGGCCAAGGAGGAGTCAAGTTCCAGAATTGGGCCAAGACTTATGGCTCTTCCCCAGAGCTGTACTTCCAGCCCACCTCAGTGGAGGAGATCCGGGAGGTAAGGAGGAGCTCCCAGATCTGTTAGGAACTAGGGGAGGAATGGCCAGTGAGGGCAGTGCCACTTCGTTGTGTTCAGATGGCTCCCAGACATGACAGCATGGATCCTTCCCTCAGCCCCAAGTTGTCACCCAACCTTCTGAGCCACAGATATGGGCATCACCTCTTTTGGGGTGATCCCAAGGGCGGCTGTGCTGGGAGGAGACTTGTTCCAGGGGTGGCTTTGGGCCTGAATGATGAATTCTCTGTGTAAAGATGGGTGAGGCTTGAGGTTGTAATGTGCCTCCGTCACCATCCATGGGGTGTTGGGTGCTCAGGGGCTGTGTGTTGCCCCAACAGATCCTGGATATGGCCCGGCAGCGGAACAAGAGGGTGAAGGTGGTGGGGGGTGGCCACTCGCCCTCTGACATCGCCTGCACTGATGACTTCATGATCCAGATGGGGAAGATGAACAAGGTCCTCAAGGTGAGGCCTTGGTGGCCCTGGGATATGATGGCACTTGCCTTGGCATGGGGATGGGTGGTATGGCACCAGCATACCTGGGATGGAGGATGAGGGGGTCTTTTTCTCACAGGAGGGAGTTCTCCCAAATCAGACCCTGAAATGTTGGTGCCAGAACAGGGAGTGGGAGTTTTCCCATTGTGTAGAAGCCTTGTAGCATTGCGTAGAAGCTTTCCCCTTGTGTAGAAGCTTTAGAGCATGTGGAGCTGCCATAAAAATGCAAGGGAATGAGGATGTCTTCCCAAATTGTGTTTGAGGAGGGCTCGATATCTACACATTGTCGTCTCCATGGCATGCTCGTAAATCATTTGGGTTGAAAAAGACTTCTGAGATCCCCTAGTCCAACCCCAGCCCACCCCACCATGCCCACTGCCCACATCCCTCAGTGTCACATCCCCACGGTTCTGGAACACCTCCAGGGACAGTGACTCCACCACGTCCCTGGGCAGCTGTGCCACTGCACCACTGCTCTTTTGGAAAAGAAATTTTCCCTAGTATCCAATGTGAGCTGTTGTGTTTCTCCTGCTTTGCATCCAGACCTGAGGGTGCAGGGAGACGCTGGGCTTTTACTGGGGCTGAATGGCCTGTGTGCATGCATATACATGTGTATCTGCATATTTGTGTGTGTGTGTGCAATAGAGGGTGAAGAAATCTTGACTGTAGCAGAAAATTCTGAGAGTTGTATCACTGCTGGTAATTAGGGAGCAACTCAGGCCCTGCCTGCCAGAAGCAGGATGCACAGCTCCAGCAGTGCAAGCTGTCCCATCCTTTGCAGGTGGACAAGGAGAAGCAGCAGGTGACGGTGGAAGGTGGGATCTTCCTCTCAG